GTAATCGTAGGTAAACTTTATCAAAATATAACTTGAGCCAATAAATCGTAAATCATCCTTCAACATGTGGGCATTGTCTAATACTTCATCATACTCAATTCTTTCAAAATATGCTCATAAACATGGGTAACTTGAATTCATGCCTTTCCATCATCAATAACTCAAAACATTGAATATGCATCATAAATCATAACTTTCGTGAACCTTCATCAATAGGCATTTTAGATTTAAAAGCTTGAAACATGATTTTAAAGAAAATAATATGAAACCCGCCCATTATTCATAATTCAATAATTAAAATTCAATTAAATCATACCTATAAAGAGAAATCATATTTTCATGGACAGAAACTCTTAATTGAATAGGAGGATTCATGATTAAATTCAAAAATTTAAAAAAAGAAAAAATTGAAGAAATCACCCATTCTAAACCATACATACTGGAATGGATTGATTCAATGTTCCTTGAATACCTACAAAGAAATTGATGGAAACTTGGAGAAGAAGGCTCTAACTCTCCCCAAAAATAAAATAAAATAAAATCTCCGGTATTATTGACATTTAAAGACACAAGTTAATGTTGCGAGCTTCCGCCCCCGCACAAGTTAATATTGCCGAACTTATGCCCAGACACACAAGCTTATACCGAACTTTTCCTTACCCACAAATTCATGCAAACTCAACTTCTCATGTCAAGCAACTTCTATCCCTAGTAATATTCATGTTGTTGAATTTATTCTCAAAGGCACAAATTGTTGTTGCTGGAACTTATGTCATGTCATTAAACTTATGGCATGCCATAAAATTCCCAGATTATGTATCTTGAAATGTGTAACGTTTTCTTTTATATACTTATCTCGTAAATAACTTTGCGCTTATATCGTGTTTATGTATTATATTTGTATATGTATCATTTTTTTATGCTTATTAGTATGTATCAATATTCTAGTGAAACACATAACTTTCATTTAAATAGATGAGTATTGATACATGTAACCTATTAAATTTAAAATTTTTCTCAAATCACAACGATGATACACCCAAAGAAAAACTCTACAAATCGCACTTCAAATTTAGAAATTTCACATATGTGGAATTTTGGTTTAAAATTTTAAATATGGAAAAAAAATTTCAAGAATAAAAAGAGCGACTTACTCCTATTAAATACGCAACTATCCTTAAAAAACAAACAACACCAATTAAGGAGGGATTGCAGGGTTTTAAATTTAGATATAGTCATAATGGGTTATTGTAAATTGTACCATAAAATAGAAAAACATGTTATTTTTTATAATTTTAATAAATCATTCTATTTTATGCAATTATTTTACTATGTAGTACTATTTATGAAAATTGCTCTTTAAAATTTTAGTTGGTTGCAATTTGAAATCATCATTTAAGCTATATTTATATTACATAAATAATTTACAAATCTATTTACTGCAAGAATTACTTTAGATATGCGTGTTTGAGTTTGTTATGTTAGATTATTTTAAAATATTTAAGTATATATATCTTATGATAAAAATTAAAATTCTTCGACTAAAAGCTATTTTTAATAAAATATTAAATGGCGCGAAAAATATCAAGACCTCCCCGTATAAGTCATTTTTGTTAGACTTTTCTCGCAGAGAATAAAATATCAAATCCATCTTAGGATTTTGAAAGTTTTAGTTGGTTGGATTTGAGCCCATATGCAAATTAGCCCTAATTTGTGTTCACCTCGCGCCTATGTCCCGATCTCTAGAGTACATAGCTTCTCTAAGTCTGCCTCATCACTGCTCCCCGCGTAAATTAGGCTCAGGATACGAGCATTGTTCGCCCACCCTTCGTAACCCCTCAATCATGGCGGAGTAGGCACTTCTTTATGTCGCTACTACATTATGAGTTGTTATAGAGAAATCAATGTATTGTCATGCGCACTGAGAAGGCGTTTTGAAGCGTACTGGTGTTTTTCGGAAGGTGATATCCCTGACCAAAGCTATAGTTTATGTTGGAGGAATTTGATTCTAAGATTATGTGCATTTGGTGTTTATTTGATTGGGCAACTCTAAGAAGACCTAGAAGGGAAAGAGGCTGTGAAAGGAGGCAATAGATACTTCTTATATATTGAATAGATTCAAGACTCGCGTGCCACCGGGTTGTCATATTCATTTCCGCTAATCATATCGAGAACACACCTAATTACCGTATTTCATTTGTTGACCGTCTTCGCGTCGCCGGTTTGCATTAACATTCTCAATTACGTGAATATAGTTATGTTGTATGTCGTCTCGAATGGAGTAGAATAGGAAATTCTAGTAAGACTAATTGTCACGTCGAGTGTTGCAAAGTAGCTTATTTGCTTTATATTTCATGTAGAGTATCCATATAGAGAATGTGTAACTAGTTAGATAGTGAGGAAATATATCATTCATCAAGGAGTACTTTACATTTGCTTTGAATGACACTGTACTATGCTCAATAAAAATGGCTGTAGAAGCTATAGTGCATTAAGGAGCATAACCTCTTATTAGCTAGCGACTCGATTAGCATGACATGGAGGAGGCTATGACACCTCTCCTGCTCAAGGTTGATCTTTCCTGCTTTTGTTTCACCATTCTCCAACATCATCTAATATTATAACTAATATTGAATTTTCCGCAATTCGAATTCCACCCTCAAAACCTAATTATTAGGTGTCATTCACAAATCCATATACCTCATTTTTTTTTCACGTGGGTTTTTTCTTAATTTTCTTAAATCTTTGATACAACTACAGAGATACATTAAAACCTTGTGGTAACCAAATATCTTTGTTTCCTACCTCAACCAGAGACAAAAAGCACCAAGATGCCGTAAAGCGCCATGCATTCCAACCGATATCATTTACATTTAGTAATGGAAAATGAATTATGTGTCCTAAATATCCACTTGTGACGTTAATGCGAAATGGTTTGTCACCAACGCTTCTCTAGATGGTGGGTATTTTAAAAATGAAGAGTTCCCTGCATTTTAAGTCAAAGATGCACAAGTTGCCATTTGGTTCTTTCATGGTACTTCTGAAGTTATAATATTGTGATCGTTTTCATCCATTGTGCTTCTTTCATTTCCCACGTTGTAGGTATTTTCAAAACAACAATTATTAATTTATGCCTTTATTGACATGTAATGGTTCTTTTAACAAAAGAAAACTCAATTCTACTTGTGAATCTTAATTATAGTTTGTTTGTTATTGCCTTTAATCTATCAGATTCTTTCACTCTGTTTGGCCGAAATTGTAGTAATTTACAAACAAACTCCTTTAGATTTATCTCGCATTTTATAGCCCCGTAACAATGAGCGCATAAATTTTTCCAGAGTAGTTTAAGCTTCTGCTACGTAAATGATATCAGTAGTTTCTATCTTTCACTATATATTTTTACCTTCCTAGTAAAAACGGCTATACGTTAGTTTCCCTTGTTCTATGATGTAACATAGTGCTTTGGTTCTGGCTTAAATTTAGGTACGTATATCGATTAAGAAATAAGAATTCACCTACGCAATGTTTCTATCCGGGTCGTATCATTGCCGTACATGCCACAAGGCTAAGATGAATTGTAAATCCATCATCATAGACGCAATTACCTACATTATGTCAAGAAGTACCAGAGACAAGAGTTTGTCACTTGTACTATGTTGGCTGCTTCGCTTGTTGTTCGTTAGTTTTTAACTTTAAGTTATTTCGTATATGAGAAGAGGCATCAATATTCCACCACATATCACCACGCTCCGTGAAAGAAGGAGATCATGTTATTATTGACACGCAGTTGGTAGTACCATCATATTTTGTGTTTGTTAAAGTAATTTTTCCGTTTAGCTATTGAAGTAGGAGGTGATAACATCCTTTTTTATAACAGCCTTTATCCAAAACCGTGAGGTTTAATGTGTTAGCAGATTCCACTGTTCGCCAAGCGGGGTAAAAAGGCTTTACCTAATGTGAGCTGGTTCCATTTTAATTGGTATCTCCAGAATGATGTCAAGACTATTCTCGTTTCGTTGATTTTCCTTTGAGCTTCAAGTTGTGAAACTCAACGCTCACAGTTTTTTCCCTATTAAGTCTATGTACTACTTATCTTACATAAGCAATTTATGATTGAACCCTTCTTTGACCTTTATTTTTTGAAGAAAATGTTTGGTGATTGAATTAGCAAGAATTTACAAATTTCTCGGATTGCTTGAGCCTAGTCTAATGGTACATTGCCATTTGCCACAATATAAACTTCAATTTTCAAGGTGTTCTCAACCAAAAAGAAAAAGCTCTAATCAAATTGACCAACTATATATATAATAGTTTTAGATGTTTCATTTGAATTTTATTTAATCATTTTATCTCTACTAGACAATAATATAAATTTGCTGAACAAAGATATCTTAGACAGCAACTATCATAGATTAACTTATGATGAATTCTTTATTAATATGAATTGAATGATCCAATATTCGTTAGACATGCGGATATTAGAGTAGAATTTTTAACTAAGTATGAATTTAGCATGTACAAAAGAAATGACACCATAATTTTTTAAACACCCACCATCGCTCTTAGTCAACTATAGTAACATCTTACTTTTAAAATATTAATGTAATGTCACTTCATCATTTTGTTTTTGTCGACCGCAACAACTTTTTGCTTGTAATGTAAAAAATATTGAACCTAAGATCATACAACAACACCATATAAGAGTGGAAATAAAATAATCATATCAAACTGCATCATTGACATTTTAGTTTCAATCTTTCTTGACATTGTCTGTTTTAACAAGCGCAATCTTTTTCTCTAAATCAATTAATTTTATACTTATTTATAAATTTATTTTTATACGTAAGAGATATAAAATAATATATAAGAGAAAAAATAAAATCATTCTTTTCTATTTAAATTGAATGGTGTACCAGATTAATTTCTCATCTTTGCCTATTATGATGATGCGGTACATCTGTATAGGAATAAATAAATAAAATGTTGAAATAGAGCACGAAGCCGTCTTAGCCTTAGCGCAGTAGAGCGCGTGGTTTTTAACCACGTGGTCGTGGGTCTGATCCTTACAGACGGCGCCCTTTACTTTTCCCCTTCGTTATGTTTATTTATTTTTACAAAAATTAATTTTTAAATATTAAAGTTTAGATATTTAATTAAAAAATCCAATTGTTTTTTGGTAAAGAAAGATTATATTATAGTGATATTATCATGTATTAATTATAACATTTAAAATTATCATTCTATTTATTGTTTTTCAAGTCAATACCGACGAGTAAAGGTGGATGGAGCAAATATTTTCATTGGGACTTATGATTTGTATATACTTATAATTTTGGAACCTTATGATTTGCAATACTTATAATTACGGTTGTACATGGTGCGGGTCAATTTGAATTTTTTAAATATCAAACCAAATCAATTATATCGGATTTTAAAATCTATAAACCAAATCAAACTAATAAAAGTTGGGGTTTTCAACCTCGGATTTTTTCGTATTTTTCAATCTTCTTAGTTTTTTTTTTATTTTTTCACGATAAAGTCTTCTTACAAAACACATAACGAATACATGAAATATTTCTTTATTTTAGTGACATAAAATATGAGACAAGCATTGACATTGTACTAAAATATTTAACCTAAAAAGATTATGAAATCACATAAAATAAATATACAAATTATACTGGCCACGATGAAAATGATCATACACTAAAAGTACTAAGGGTCGCTTGATTACGGGTTAGAGTTATGTAGGTATTAGTAATACATGAATTAGGAATTCAATTCATAAGTTCAAAATTGAAATTAAAAAATTATAAATTATAATTTTTAATTTAATATTGAAGGTAATTGACTTTACGTTGTTATAGAAACGTGACAATTTTTTTTGTTTGTTTATTTATTTATTTATATATTGCATGACCGATTATATTTTTAAAATTATACATGACTTATTTTTTATGGGAATTGACTATAATAACATATACATATACAAATTTTATACGTAAAAGTACACATGACGAGAAAGAAATAAACACACAATGTTCAAGATAATATTTTAAAAAAGTTTCATCATGAATACAAACCGACTAAATTTTTTAATACAAATTTGATTATAGTCGAAGTATATTATAATAACGTATACATATATACATCAATTATTATATGTGAAAAGTACATGGTGATAAGAAAAAAATTTAATGAATAAAATTTTGGATACAATTATGAATACGATCGATGTATACTCCCAAGAAAGTTGGAACGTCTATAAAATACATAAAAACGCTTTCCTTATTTAATTTTTAATTATAGTAATATCTTAATATATTTTTCAAAGTATTAAATTTATTATATTTAAAGGGTGATATAGTAAAATTATCATTCTATTTATCGGGCTGCTCAATACCGTACGGCAAAGACGGATGAGGAAATATTTTCATCGGACTTATGGGATTTGTAAATAATAGAGCACTTGGAACCTTATGATTTGCAATACTTATAATTAGGGTCGTACATGGTGCGGGTTGATTTGAATTTTTTAAATATCAAACCAAATCAATTATATCGGATTTTAAAATCTATAAACCAAATCAAACTAATAAAAGTTGGGTTTTTCAACCTTGTATTTTTCAGATTTTTCAATTTTCTTAGTTTTTTTATTTTTTTTCACGTAAGAACACATAACTTAATACATGAAATATTTTTTATTTTAGTGACATAAAATATGAGACACAAATATTGACACTCGTACTAAAATATTTAACCTAAAAGATTATGGAAATCACATAAACAAATATAATTAATTGATACGATGAAATGATCATACACTAAAAGTACTAAGGGGTCGTTTTGATTGTTGCAAGTCAGAGTTATAGTAGGTATTAATAATACATGAATTAGTTATGAGAGAATTTTGTAATATTTTATGCAGGTATTAGTAATTCATGTATTAGTTATGTAGGTATTAATTATGCAAGTATTTAGTTATGTAGGATTTATAGTTATTGAAATTACAATACATTACAATATTAATTATTAAATATTTAATAAATTAAAAATATTAAAAAAATCAAAAAAGATAAAAAAATTAAAAAAATTAAAAAAATTAAAAAAATTAAAAAAATTAAAAAAATTAACATTTTTAAAATTTTAATTTTTAAAATTTTCAACTTTTAAATAATCACATCATTATTTCCTTTTTTAATTTTTTAAGTTTAAAAATTGTGTACTACATATGAATTAAAAAAAAAAAATTTAAAAGTAAATTGATAGGGTAGATGTGTAATTTTATTATTTTAATCCATGATAACTAATACCCACATAACTTATTCCACCGCCCCCGCATAAATTATACATAGATTTCTTCATAAGTTATGTAAGTATTAGTTATGTAGAATTACTAAAATACAATCAAACATCGCATAAAATTAATACATGAATAAGTTTTATACAACATTTGAAATCTACCAACCAAACATGGTATAAAATTAATACATGCATAACTTTATTCTATTTAGAAATTAAACCGCATTAAATTAATACATGAATATTCAAAAAGTTGTTCATGTATTAATTTGGGCCTTATACACAACCAAACGGCCCCTAAGTTATGTCAAAACTAAGCATGAATTAATAGATATCTAATATTATTGTTATTCCCGGTGTTAAAATCATTTTTTGTTAGCATTGGTCATTATTTTGGAATGTACTTGCGTTAATAACATGCATCTATAATAAAACTTTTCAATCATTTAAAATTTTAAGTATCGTATAAGATATTGCATATTATAATCAATAATGCAATTTAAAATATTATTTGAATTATATCATGTAAATTAATAGACTAGCAAATCATTATCGTATTATGTTTATATTTGTAAGTTTTAATGAGGGGTTGTGATAATGTTCATAAAATTCTAGAAATTGAAGTGTTATTGAACGAAAAAATTAAACGAAAAAGATGAGTATAGTGTTGAAAGCTGATAATTATAGTGACTCGGCGTGAAGGGGTGATGATTTTGATGCTAAAGTTGGCTGATAGTAGCCGGTACACATGGTGGTGACTCAAGCAACAAAGTAAAATGGCGATATACCGTGGCCGACTTCCGTAGTGCTAATTGTGATTATGAGGTGGATTTGACAGTAAGGATTGACCACTAATAGTAGCTAGTGACCTGGAGCAGTGGTAGAGTGTGGTGGGGCCATACGCTGCTGATTATAAGTGAAAGTTAATCTAATTATAATGACAGCTTAGTATGCATGGTAAAGATTAATAGAAGGGTTGACAATAATAGTGATTGTCGCGGTTATCAGGATTTACATGGATGGTTGGCGAGGGTTGCCACGAATACAGAGGGTTGACGATATTTTAAGTCAATACTCTGCATAGCAAAGATGGATGGAGGTATTTTCATTGAGACTTATATTTGTAATACTTATAATTTTGGAACCTTATGATTTGCAATACTATAATTAGGTTGTATATGGAAAGTGTCGATTTGAATTTTTAAAATTATAAATTTAAAGAGTTAAAATTAAAGATCAGTTTATTTTTAATCAAATCAAACTAATAAAAGCTGGGGTTTTTCAACCTCGAATTTTTCAGATTTTTCAATTTTTCAGCTTTTATTTTTATTTTTTACGATAAAGTCTTCTACATAACACATAACTTAATATATGAAATATTTCTTTATTTTAGTGACATAAATTATGAGACAAGTATTGACACTGTACTAAAATATTTAACCAAAAAGATTATGAAATTACATAAAATAAATATACAAATTATACGCCACGATGAAAATGATCATACACTAAAGTACTAAGGGTCATTTGGTTACAGTTAGTTATGTAGGTATTAGTAATACATGAATTAGGAATTCAATTCATAAGTTCAAAATTGAAATTAAAAAATTATCAATTTTTAAAATTTAATATTGAAGGTAATTGACTTTACGTTGTTATAGAAACGTGACGCATTTTGCTTGTTTGTTTATTTATTTATTTATATATTGCATGACCGATTTATATTTTTAAAATTATACAAGACTTATTTTATGGGAATTGACTATAATAACATATACATATATACAAATAAATTTTATACGTAAAAGTACACATGATGAGAAAAGAAATAAACATACAATGTTCAAGATAATTTTTTTAAAAGTTTCATCATGAATACAAACCCTGACTAAATTTTTGAATACAAATTTGATTAGCGACGTATATTATAATAACGTATACATATATACATCAATTATTATATGTGAAAAATACATGGTGTATTAAGAAAAAATTTTAACGTATAAAAATTTGAATAAAATTTTGGATGCAATTATGAATACAATCGAGGTATACTATAATAACTTATGTGTATATATATATATATATATATATATATATATATCACCTTATATGTAAAAGTACATGGCAAGAAAGTAATAAACACACGATTTTCACCATAATTTTAAAAAAAAGTTTCATAACACAATCCGATTATAGTCAATGTATACTATAATGATGTATACATATATACATCAATTATACATAAAAATAACAAAATTAATTCTTTATCTAGAAATTATCAATATTTAAAGGTTAGAATTTACTAATATTTTTAGGTTATAAAAATGTCAATTCTATCTTAAACTTATACTTATTTAATTGGTTGGATTTTGAGCCCATCTGCAAATTAGCCCATTTTGCAAGTCCAGTCCATAGTCCATGTCCTGATCTGCCTAGAGTACATGTTTCTTAAGTCCTCGCTCCCTGCTGTAAATTAGGGTTTGGGAATACGAGCATCGTTCAGTCAGCTTCCTTCGTAACCCTCAACTGCGGCGGAGCAGGCTACTCTCTCTCTCTCTCTCTCTCCTATTGCCTGTGATATTATGAGTTTCTATAGAGAAAATCTAATTGAATTTGTTTCGTGTTGCAGACGGAGAAGGCGTTTTTGAAGCAGCCAGGTGTTTTTCTAAGGTGAGTGTCCTGACCAAAGTTATAGTGTGTGTTGCTGGAATTTTTTAGTCTAAGATTTGCGTTTTGTTGTTTATCTGTTTTGGGGCAGTCTTGCAGAAGA